CAGAACTTTCCTAGATGCATTAATAAATCGTCAGTTGGATACTTACTGCTACTCTGAAAAACACCATATTACTTCTTCACATTCGTAAAAATAAAAAAGGTATTTAGATATTTCGGATTTCTTAAATGTGAAGAACATACAGTTTATGTACGAATGTAATCATTTTAGAGATTGTTTGATTATATAATATGGCCAACTAACCTCTGAATTACTTTCCACAAAAGGGAAGAACACCAAAGGTAACTGATGGAATCCTCGGGGTTTGTCTTACTTTCTTTCTGGCATTATTGTGTAAGGTTTACCCGTTATTCTGATTCATAGACTGGAACATGAATTAGTCACCACTGTAGTTAGTAAATTTACCAATTGTTTACAGATTTCAGCAACAAGTTAAGATTTTTTGTTTGAAGTAACAAACTTATTTTGTCTCTAATTCACAGTAAGATCCAAATACAAAAACACTGAGCACTAGTTAACTGTTTAACTGTTACTGGTCACTCAGATAACTAAACTAGCCACACTGACATGTCAGGAATATCCCCTTCTGATGTATTTAAACAAGCACGAAACGTTTACCTAGAATTCCTGTTAGTTTTCTGCCAACACACGGTCGAATCTGATAACTACTTAGGATGAGTCACTTATCTCAGTAATTACATCGAGATTTTGATCTAAAAAATTCAAAAAACCTCTGTGATTTGGTAACACTGAGCGCCTTCGTGCAAACTATTATTATGTTTCATCGTTTCGTAGTAATTTTTGTAGATTTCCTTTACATGAATAACTATGACGGTAAAAAAAACTAGTATTCAGCTGAAGTTGAGCTTTAAATTTCGTTAAATATTGATTTCTACTTTGTTTCATTGAGATTCCCATTTGATTGTGCCAAAAGTACTAAAAATATCCGTATACATAATTACAAATTAAGCCTACATTATATTAAAAAAATGTTACTGTGCATGTCAGAGGACGAAAATCAAGTTTCATATGAACGTAGATTGACTTGAGCAGTTGATGAGTCATATCTCGCCAAACTGCTCGCAGGAATCACTATGGGTGCACTACTCAGTTGACAAGAAATTTGCAACAGTCAACGAAATAATTAATGCATTATACTTCATCTATTATTGTACAATTAGACAGCAGTCTCCAAGCTTGTTATTCTGTTATTATTTAACATTTCTGACTGTCTGCTTTTATGCTAAAACACTGAATTTGGAAACAGCGCTGAGGAAACTAATCGGTGCGGTGTCTTTTTATTATCATACCGTAAAAAGACTTAAAATGCACATTTTTTTCGAAAGAAGTAAAACCAATTTATGAAGTCATAAACATTAGTAGGCATTTTTTCCATCTAAGAATAATATATTTGCCTATCATACTCAATCAACATTGGACAAAATTGTGGTTTTTAGGTAATGAGTGTGAATTATTATTCTCAGAAATTCAATAAATATTATTTAGTGGATGTAAAGTGTATCCAATTCTACTCCGCGGTTCATAAAACTTTTAAGTATAATATAACGTAAACATTTCCAATGTTGGCAATAGTTAACTTTACAACTGAATTCTCTCTCTATAATCAGGAAGCGTCCATCAAACCGTGAGAATTCATGGGTGTCACTTAGGAATTTTCTTCATATTTCATGCGTTCACAGTGAATTTATCATCAAAATGGTGAACCTCTTTTATTCATAGTGAAAGATGTCAGAATTTATACTCCATTTCCTAACGATAACGAAGTACATTTGTCTTATTGCTGATTGGTCTATTTAAGGATGGCCAGTTAACTTACACCACTACAGATTTGACTTACTGCATACATCAGCATTTTCAGTAAGCCAGGTGTCACACTCGGAATTGGATGTCTAATGGTTAGTAAATTTAAAATTGAACAGGCAGTCATAAAAACAAGTGACTGCATTGAGTAAAACCCATTTGATAAACATAAATTTGCTGTGAAACTATTAAATTCCAGAAGACTTTGATAAAATATTCCTCTTCTTTTTGGAACAATCTTTTAGTTAGCCAAATCATACCAGTAAAGTCACCACTCACACCTAAAAATTAATAGCTCTGAAAATCCCAATCCGTTCATTATATCTTAAAACTAGAAATGTACAACCTTCTGGTTATCTTATTTCTAAAGCACAAGTAGTTTGTTTTCCGCATATTCTTCAAGATAAAAGCTAAAGAAGAGCTTTATATTCCATTCACCGAAAGATTTAAATGAATTCAGCTAATGTCGCTTTGTTGAGATTTTATTCGTTTTCTATTTTGTTATCATGCAGTGCTTCCTGAATGAAAATTTACTTCACTGCATAATAAACTTATTACAGTTTAACTGAGAAATCGTGATGCAAAGAATATGCAGAATCTTCATGTCACTCAGATGGAACACGAGTTTAATTGCACTGTTTTCAATTCGCTTCACAAACAAAGTGTTCGACTCATATGTTTCATGAACGGAATACTTTTTTAAACAAAACGAGCCTTGTTAAAAAGTCTTTTTTTTTAAGCGTCACTATGCAAGCATCTAGTTATTCATATAAATGGATTGACAAGTTTCAGGTACATATTTGATTTAGCCAAACTACCGAATAGTGAGATTAACTCTGAACCGCATAAAGTTTACCTTTAATTTCCGTAACTGTTTATTGATGACTGAATAATCTAAGTCCAATTAAGAATACTTTTTAACTGGCATCAGTTGTTTTGTGAATCTTCTTGGACTTCCTGGAGCATTCGAATACTATCTTTCTTTTCTGAAAGACTTAAAGTTTAGTTTCACGCTGTTGGTTTTGAAATCATATTGGATATTGTTTTTCGTATTTAGTCTAGGGTAAATAAAAAAGGTACTCGGATAGCTATCAAGCTCAAAATACCATCAATAGTTATTTTTATTCACCATATTTCTTAACCGTTTCTTGAAATAGACTCCCTTATCAAAAATAATCTTAATAGCTTGAGTAATAACCCCTCTGAATGCACATACGATAAAAGTTTCTAGGTAAAACGTTTAAACGAAGTATCAAGTTTCTGCCTTCTTTTAGTGGAATCAACCTGTGTGCAATCTGAATCAAAAACCGAAGAACATCTTTCTAAAAACCGTAAATTTTCCGACCGCTTTTGTACAACTGAGTAATTACAACTAATTAACCAGTCGTTAGTCACATTAAATTAAAAGTCTTATTTCCTCTCACTCAAACATCAGTCGGCTGTATTTTATTTCAGGAAATAGAGTGTATTTAGTAAACGTTAAAAGTCTTTTAGATAGTTGTTAACTTGCATTTTGCCTGCATTTTCACTTCTCTTTTAGACTGTTGGTAACTTACTATTCAGAGTAACAAACTTTTCTGCTCCATGTTGTATTTCTTAAGTTCTTCACCATGATCCTTTATATATACGATTTGATTAGCATTGTGTAACAGTGAATAATATTGATATAACCAGCGAGTGAATGCAAAAAAAAGATATCCAGCTTCTTCTTTTAAGCTTTTACTTCCTGAAGAATGAGCAAAACAGTTGAACAGAAATGATAATTGATTTTGACAATTAGCTCTTTGAATTTCGTCACCGACAGAATGTCAGATAATGAATACTTTATTTCAACGGTTCAAGTCGTTTCCACATGCTGAACAAACTTTTACTGTTTAAGATACTGGTCTCCCAAAAATACCACATATTGTATATTAGATTTCATGATGTGGTTTTGATTGACAGACTGATCTTTGCATGCCTTGAGTTAGCCACTGGAGTTGTTAGAAAACACACACTGATGCAGCATTCCAACTACCAGCTTTCAATTTGAAACCTTATAGAGAGTCACGCTTCTGTCTCGTTAACAGCCATAGTTTACATGTATCACAACCATAGTGAACAGGTACAACCTGCTGCATTATATTATTTAAGTATAAACTGAATGGAAGTCAAAAGAGATTACATGAAAGCATGCACGGAAAAATAAAGTATAAAGAAACCAAGAAATTAAAGGGGGGAAATGGGCTAAATATGGAAGTTAAGTTAGGGAATGGCATTTAACAGGTCAATTAAAGATTTGAGAATATCAAACTTCATCAAAATGATAGTAATTTCGATGTTGAAAAGAGGTTTTGCCCATGACGAAGCCACAATATGGTCACCAGTGTTTCGATCTCAGGTTTTGAAATTATAGAATTTTTTATCACTAACTACACTGAAATCCATAGATATGACAATGAAAGCTACTTTAACGAATTCTTTTAGAGATATTTAGTCGAAGGTCGAGAAAGATGGATCTCTTCTATGGATAACAAAGGACAGCCCAAAAATTATTTTGGAAAGCAGGATCATTTATGTAACTATTTCAGTAGCGCTACACAACGCGGACTAAAAGTTATAACTGATCGCTCTGATTCTATCGAGTGAATTATTTATAATGGAGTTGGAACTACAGAATTAAATATAGTAGATTCTACAGGTTCCTGCTCGTCATACTTTCTGATCTTGATGTGCATAAACGGTGTCTTCTAACTGTGGGAAGCGATGTGATACTAGTGTTATCGTACGTACTGGTAAAAAAATAATGGGTATTTTAGATGCATTCTTCATGAACTTGACTTGCTATATCTTTCCTGAAGATTATTCTTCTATGTTGAAATAGAAAAAGAACTCCCATCGTTGGAAAGTGAAGTTATCACAAAGAAACTTTTCAGTCCAGCCGTACGTATGCATTTGAGTGAATTTGCGAATTATCACCTTAAGCTCCAGCTTTAAATACTTTTAACTGTCACTCCGTAAGTTGATTGTGAACTTGACCTCAAGTCAATCCATTGATAATATGGTTAAATTGTTGTCAATGTGTAAAGACAGTGTTTATTTTGCACAGAAGTCAAAACAGCTTACGTAACCATCTTTTTTAGCATGATCTTTTAAAAGCAGTCACACTTATTCTCGTTGGTCTTAGCTATGCACAGTAATGGTTATTTTCTTTGTTGGTGTTTATTCCTATATCTATTCAGTGTTTGCAGCCATGTCAATAGTGTATACAGCGACACGATGCTATGAGGTTGTAAAGAAATATCCGCATAATGCCCATCAGGAGTTTACACCTTTTTCAAGATTTTATTTTTTATCACACAGACTGTCTTCCTGCTACTTCTACATCGGGTAAGTGTAATTTACTTTATCACACTTGTTTTGTTGTAAAATAACAAAATATTCTTTTCGAATGCATTTTATTCATCAAAATGGGCAAATTATTTATAGAATAATAAAAACATAAACGTATACAGGTATGGAACTATTGTGAGCGTGTTCGTTACGTATGTGTTTTGGGGTAAATATTCAATTTAGGAGTACCTTTTTTACATTGTACATCGAAGAAGCCGACATAATGGAAACTAACCACGAATATTATCTTAACTCCTGATTTCCAACACATTCAATAGCTTCCAGGATTTCCGCATTTTAGAGTACCCGGAATAACTTTACATCCATGTCAACCAACACATTCAATGACATTGAAATCTTTACCGTAAATGTTTTAACGATCTAATGGCTATCATCCCAACTGGTAAATCATGAGAAAATGATAGTTGACATACATGGTAATTGCAGTATGCGGTTTTAGCAAATAACGCTTATTATATAGATTTTGAGTAATTTGGTTTTTAACAGTATGATAACTAGCAGTTATCATTTATGGAAGAGTCTATCGCCAATAAAAGCTGTGCAAATAAAGTATAGTAGCAATAGTTACGATCCTCAAAGGGATGTGTATCCTTTACCTAGATGTACGTGTAATTTTCGAACAATGTTCAAGCATTATTGCTTGCTCATCCTTGATTCCACTGCTAGCCACTATCCATCATTACTGTAATGTTCAAGTAGTCTGCATTCTAATGACCTTCGACCAAACCTTTTATATACATCATACACAGACAAAGAAAAACATTCTGAAATTAACTTACTTCACAAATAGCAAAAAATTGCATTATCTTCGGCATATGGTTTCTTCGATACGTAGTGCTATTTCACCATTTGATGGATAAAAAAGATCTTCTAGGTCTAAAATTCATCAATTTCTGTTTGTATTCAGTAGAAGATGTAACCCTACTACGTAAACTGTGTACCAGTTTTTGCATATGCAAAGCAACAAGTTGACTGAAAATGGGTATCTAATGAGCTAAGTAGTAGCTATTAGTTCTTCCTATTTGAAATTCAATGAAAACTACAACAGAGTGACAGTCATTAAATTTATTTGTTGGCCATCACAGCAGATCACAATGACCAATCAGTGCACTCAGTTCAGTCCTGCATAAGATCAGTCGCAGCCTGAATAGAGATAGATAGCAATATCTCTAACTGCAACACTTAACGACGCAAGTCCAGATTTCTCAAGAGACGTCAGTTCCGTTCAGGTTGCAAATACCCCTTGCTGACGATTTTCTGATATAGTTTACATTTGATCAGACGACCCACAAGTGGTATATCAATTCTCTTACCTTTATCTGTGCTAAGTTCACCCATTTTTCCTTACTGTATGTACATCCTAGCATCTAGCAAGCCTCTCATAGCTTACAATAGCATTCCCAGCAGACTTCTAAGTATTTTGGGAAAAGCGGACCTTCTAGCTTTATTTCTGTCTACTGGTGGATTATTCCCATAATTGAACAAGTTTTAAAGCAGTATATCAACATTTGATCCGTACATATTTGTGGTTAGGTTATTACACAGATGTGATTTGAAACCTTAACAAGTGTTTACACAATCATAGAATACCAAATGTATTGACCAAAATGGACATAAAGTGAAGTGAAACATATATCAGAATATTCCATTTGAGATTAAATGAAAAGCGTTACGGATGGACAGAGTTAAATAGTCGAAGCCAAGATGTGCATTTCATCCTATTTGAGACCGATCATCTCCATTCATCTGAACCCTAAGAAACGATGGTGTTTGCACTGAGGCAGGAACCAAGCACTCATCGCTGTAGAGGCCGGAGGGTTATCTAATAGGCTAATGATTTGCTAAAGTCATCCCCAGTGAAGGGGTTATAGTTTGGTGTTTGGACTTATGATTTCAATCATTGATTGATTTGTAACAAATCAGTCGTTCTCTTTTGATCAGTTGACTCCTCAGCTAGAATCCTCGATATAATCCTTGCTTTCATTTTGATGAGTTCCGAACAGGATGGAAGGTAGATCCCGGATTCTAGTGGTAGATACTATCTTTCCTTTAAGACAAAACCACCGGCTTTATCATGGCATCTTCATAGGAGCCCACACACCAACAAAAGCTGGTCAGTTCAGTCCGAAAACCAGTTGACAACGGAAAACACCAAGCTCTAATATCAAAATGAGTAGTGGCTTCAGTTTTGTCAAAGTGTGTATCTAGTCTATGTTTCTAAAACGGATCAAATGATATAATGTTGGTTTTGAACATCAACCAGTTTGAGAGTTTCAACTATCAGGTATCCAAGGTTGACTTTTAGATTTGTCTTCAGTAGGATATTGGATTCACTTCACCTCACTAGACGTTTTGTCCCATCAACATGTTTTGCGGTATTCTCTCGTAATCTGACTTGCAATCAATGCCGGTTGCAAATACATATAATGGTGACTTATTTATTTGTGGAGGATTCTGTAAATCACTAGTTTTCCGGTAAATGACAATTAACGTGGTCAGATAGCCAAAATTTCACTTCGTGTTTTAAAAATTCACATTCACTTACCTTTATATAAAGAAACCCAGTTCCCCCTTAAGTATAATGAGGATGGTAATGTACATCATATTTCTGTTTTTTTCTTTCAAAACTAATTACTATAGGTTGTGATCTTGGTGAGAATACGTGTCTTCAGCTTTATTCTACTACATATTTTAACAGTTAATCTATGCATTTGGTCGGATGCTGTCATTAAAAAGATATCTAAGAGTATTGGAACTGTGACAGTGTCAAATGTAACTGAAACACATAAAAAGTATGAACTCGCAGCAACCAATTATTTTCTTCCCGCTGTACCTGAATACTGTGCGATTGCTGTAGCTGTGGTCTATGAATTGTTGAATCGTGTTGGACAACTGAAACAAATTGAATGCCATGATGAAGTAAGGAGACTTGTGATGTGTAACTTTTTGTTTTGGATAAATAGATGACTAATTGTTTTAAGGCCTTAGGTAAAACTATAATTCGAAAGTAGTTACTGGAATTTATAAATATCCAATTATAGTCACTGTAAGATTTTATAAGATTTATTGTCAGTAAATTTTTGTCTGTAACACATCCGCTCAGCTAAGAACTGGAAACTTATTTTATTTAAATATGATGAAATAATAGCCCTATAATTTTAACTCAAAACCCTGTCATAAATGCAGTTCTATGAAGACACTTATCTAAGGAGAGAGTTTTAAGTTCAAATATGTGGATCGAAACCACTTAACCAAGTCTGCCTGATCTAAGGAATTTGACAGCTGTGTGAGGTTAGTTTTTCTAGACATACTGCTAGGCTGCTCGATCCTGAATTAATGAAATGAGCGTCTACGTTTTAGGCCACTACCGTCTTATTACCGAAATCGGTAAATCATCATGAGTGAATTCTATCTTCTTATGTTGTTCAGTAGCACATTTCATCTTTAGTTTCACGAAGAGCTAGAAGAATACCTGCTCCAGTCCAAATGTTCATTTCACCTCCAATCATCACCTAGTATAAATACGCGAGTCTCCCAAACCACGACTATCTTCTCACATCGTCAAAAGATAATCAATATGATGCTCTCCCTCTCTAATTCAGTTAGATTTCAATTTGGATGAGAAGTCGCGAATAGGCAACCAGCGTGAATGCGATCAAGAGGTAGTGACGCGTCACGAATTCACATGATAGTTGGGCGAAACCCTTGGTGATTGAAGTGAAATACTAATCTGGTAAGCAGTCTGACTTTCTAGCTCAGCTGGTATAGCATCTGTCCAGAAGCCCGAAGGTTGCTGGTTTCTATTCGGCGGAGGTCCAAATATTCATTTCATCTTCAGTCATCACCCAGCATCAAAGTAGGATGCTGTTATGACCCTTGAACCAAGCACCTATCGGTGTGAGCTGCATGGAGATGCTTTGACCGTCTGAGCTGTTTTCACAAATCTCTCAGCAATCTAAACTCTTTATCCTCTCTAAGCACATATTTTTTCATGTCTGATACAACAGATTTCCATTTCTTCTGATTTTCTACTCTTAGTGCCATTTAAAAATTGTGAGATATAACAGATATACTTCCGTAGTAGGCTATACCTTGCCATGAACTTTCGTTTACCCGTCTGACAAATGAATAATCTCAATATTTTCAACGTGTATATCGTGATTTACAGATTGTCATTTATTTGTGATCGGATAATAGTGATAACCAAATGTTGTAACAACTTCCAGGAGAATCACAGTTTAGTCATTTCTGTTAGTAATGATTGTACACTGTTACGAAGATAATTGGTTGACAGATTGTCTATCAAGTAAACTTAAGTTATTGAGTCCTAAGGAAAAAACGTTTATGTGAAAAATCCTGGAATTTTAAATTAGGTGAGTGGTTTTTGTATTTACACATTATGCTGCGTAGAGGTAACATTTTATAACAAACAAATGAATACATCAACTTCTTCGTCACTGCTGGTGTGACATTTTCCTACCTGAGTAATGAGATAATAATGTACTGTAATTACTTCTCATGAGTAAACAAATATTCACGGTTATTCAACTTTACTTCATATTTTGAAAACGTAAACTATAATTTGTAACGTACTGTTAAAGAGGACGGGAATATCGAAAGCAATGGTTCGTAAACTTTTTAACCAAATGAGAGTAATCTAAACATCAGGTGACTTTTCCACTCGATGAACGTTAAACTTACCAGTGGTGTAATCCAAAAACGTCTGTTAACAAACAATCCTACCTGATCATATCGACTGAGTTTAGTTAACTGAATTTATGTCGGACGGTGCGCTATTAAGTGAATGTTTGTAACCAATTGATTCCCAATGAAAACTTTATTGGCATCACAGTTCGGAAGTTAAAAACTGCTCATCTGTGAGAATGGAAATGTAGACCACAAATTTTGTAAATAATTTGCAAGATGACCTTCAAAACTCTCGTTCGACCAATTTATAACATGAATGATATATATTGTAATATGTGTTTTCAGATTCTTATCAGTAGTGTGAATTTTTCACTTAGTATATCTCTAGTTATGGCACTGATGTTGTTGATGTTAAGTTTGATTGATTGATGACTCGAGGTCTCAAATTCTTGATATTTTTTCATGAAGAAAAGCTGCTCTGCAGCAGAAGCTCTATGATCGACAAATTCTCCCATTTCCGAGCACATAGGATCGCGTTATGCTCAAAAGTTAGTGAAATGACGGAAAAGATCTGTAGCTCAGGATACGGAAGATGATGCTTTGGTGTTCTCTGAGTTGAAAATCTTTCCTATAATTTGTCGGATTTTCCAAAGCCTTCTGAATCTCGACATAGCGTAGCAGTGACATCTATTGGTAAATTGAACCTGTTTGAAGACACATGCATGATGATACCTTTGTTGAATCAAGGAGTTATATCTCCAGGTCAGTATTCTGTTTTCTACAAGGATTATGTTGAAATGGCACGATGTCGCTGTCCAAAATTTATTTAAGAAGGTAAATATATGAGTGGATAAAATGAACAGCGCTAACAGAGAGTTTAAAAATCCTATTGAGGTAGGGAGCCTCGATTAGAATTTTTGTAAGTGATAGCGTTCACCTTTGACATTGCAAAGTAATACAGCATTATTGACTGTCGACATAATTATGAGTGGCAAAGTATGCTCGAAGTATTATCCAGCAGTTCTTTGTATTACATCGAATTAATATTCTGCCTCACTCCCCAATTCCTTTGCCTATATTCAAATTTAACACACTGAGAATGTAAACCAGAGGGCTAATTTGTCGTAGGTGCCTAGTCATATTCGCCTGTGGTCACAACTTTTCGATGAAATGTTTTTATTTAGTTTTGTTGTCTACTATATTTTTTAACAACATGATATTTCAAAAGAATTAATACCAAGTTACATTCTAATAAGATGAATACATAAAGATGTATGTAGTACAAGCGAGCAGCCTTAGGGATTAAAAGGTCCCACAAACGGAGGAAAACTAATGCTAAACACTATGAAACCGGTCAACCAGTAAGTTAGCAACAGCAACATGGGACCTAGCATCCCTGAGTAGTGGTCCAGGATACCATTCCTTACATTAGCACATCAAGATAACAGAAAGAGGGATGTAAATAGCTGTAACCGAAGGAAAACGAAAGTCATGAGGACAGAAGAGAAGTAGGTAAAATAAGTGATAAAATGTTATATAGTGATCTGAATGAAGATAATACGTGGATGCATGTGAACCACTGAGATCATTTCGAAGCCATATCACTCACATCCTCCAACCACCAATTTGACTATCACGTGGGTTCTGAACGGGAAGTCTGGAATTTCCGTGCAACACAAATTAACTGTTGCAGACTTCATGGATTGATGTCATGTCTTAGTCTGGCTCATCTTATCTCTTCTCAGCCCAGACACACTACAATTAATATTATGCCTTGGAGTAGACAGATGCATAAAACTCCGTTAAGGTAAGCAACCATATTGGAGGAAATTCTCTTTTGCATAAGACTTCATGTCTGATTTCTATGTTACTGACATGTTAGTTCCACGATACATGGTCTGTTATATGAAAGCGTCAGTGGTCGGACATCTGAAATCTTTTTATACCCTCCGCCCTCCATGAACATATATCACATCCATGTGGTAAGACAGCGCTACCTGTAGAGTAGTTCAACCAGCCATTAGTAAAAAATCTGGTATCTCACCAATCCTATGGGTGGTGTAGTTTGGCAAAAGTCACTACTGCGAAAACGATGTTGCCATATTAATACAACTTTATGCAGTTCATTGTCTGTTGTGATTGTGACATTTGCAGAATATGTAACTAGCAGACAAAATTTTGAATTTTAAATATCACTAGAATGTATAGCATTCAGCTAAATCATCCAGACTACTGACGGCCGCCAGTTGAATCAAAAAAATTAAAACACATTACTCACTTGATAAACTATTTTAACAACCAAACATGAAGGGTTTTGTGTTTAGTAAATTTGTTGTGTTGGAGAACAGTGAAGAAGGTAAAAACATTTTTAAAGGAGAAAAAAATTCACCCAACTGAATTTTCCACCACAAATATAATTATAAACTTAAGAAATTTTCAGCTTTCCAATTGGGAAGAGTTACCGTATTCATTACGTGAAGTTCATCTAGATTTCACTATCATTGGTGAATGAAAAAACTCAGCAACACATTGAGAGTGAGAAGAATAAACCAACCTATTCGCAGATTCATTTCATCATTAGTAAAGTTAGACGAAAATGAAAACAGAATGTCAATAACAAGATAGGAATCTAATTCCACATTAGATTTCTCTATTCGATTCATAACACACAGTGATCTAGTATTATTTACTTGATGATGTTCGAGCATAAATTATCATTACTCATAATCATATCAATGTAATCACACTACTTTCGACATTTGATTGTTATAGTTACGTCACTTCATATGAATTGATTTTATTGGTAGCAAAATTTTCCATATCTCTGATATAGGTGTTGTGTCATTTCTATCACATGCGTTGTGTGTTGATTCGATGAACAAAGATTCAGTAATCAATCTCTCTCTCCACCTAATTATATTGGACTTAAGTACAGAGGCTTTATCCCACCCTACAGTGTTGTTGTGTGTTAATGTATGCATAGCAATAGGCGGGTTGTTTCTAGATTATTGATCTTATTTAGGTCTGTTATTCTATATTTAGAAAAATTCCTATGTTCGGCTATTCTAACTGACCCCAACCGACTAGTTTGACCTATGTACTTGACGTCACAGTCATTACATGGAATTTGATAGATTATATTATTTTGTTGAATTGGTCCCATCGGATCCTTAAGCCAACAAAGTTTATCTCTGAGTGAGTTTGTAGGTTTAAATGCCACCCTGATTTCAGCTCTGTTGAGGATTCTACATAAATTATATTTTGTCTTGAAACTTGAAGACTATGGAGGTCAGGCATAACTGTATGCCTAATATAATCTCATCAACCGATATCTTACTTCCATGAGTAAGTTCTGAGTCAATATTTAGTTGACTTCTGACTGCCTCTAGTGCCATATTGATTGGTATCTCGGTATACAGACTAGTTACATCGAACTAACCATTTTCTCATCCTCTTTTGTGCGTAGACCACTTAGCTTAAGTTTTAACTCGTAAGAGTTTACTAGTCTGGAATCTGAACGGTTCCTAATATGGCATAATATCGAAGCTAAGTACTTTGCTAGTTCATATGTTGAGGTATTTCTGAAGTCAACTATGGGTCTAATGGGATAACCTGTTTTATGAACCTTAACAGTGCCATAAATTCTGCTAGGATTATTAGTTTTAGGCATTAGATCAAACCATTCAGACTCACCTAGAGATGGCTTTAGTCGGCGTGTCAGATCAGCTGTAGATTTCCTGATTTTATTCATGCCTGTGTCTAAGGGCTTCTTGATCTCTTCATATGGTCGTGTTTGGATATGTTCGTCAATTTTGTTGAAGTAATGCGATCTGTCCATAACTACTGTTGAATTGCCTCTATCAGACTTAACAATTATTATATTATTGTCATTCCGTAGACTATGCAGAGCTGAATTTTCAAGTTTTGTTAATTTCCGCTGTCTACAGAAAACCAACACATTCCAACAGGTATCTAGACTTCAAATCATCCCATCCAATGTCAGTTAAGGCAAGATTAGTAAAATGTCTAAATGACAGAGCTAGAAAACTGACTAGTCAGAGTAAGAACCTAAACACGGAATCGAAGCACGTAAAAGAAGCGCTAATAGTTAATAATTATCCTCCGCAGTTTATTAAGAAGATCTTACGGATACACGAAAAGCGAAAAAATAACAATCTCACGAGTTCGACTAATAACAAAAATAGGAATCTACAAAAAGTATGTCAAGAAATCTGTATGCTTGTGTTAAGGTCTAGTTCCCAGTGAATCGTGTAACTAGGCGAAAAGCTTATCCTTACACCGAAGCATTCTCTTGATGTGCAGTTTTTATGTCTGACAACTATAAGGAAATGGCTGTGAGTTTACGCTCAAATGAACTATGTATTTATTTGGCGAAATATTTTGCAATTAATTTTTATTCATTAAAACTAAAAGGATTGATAACAATTTCATAGCAAAAACCCTAGTCAATCTACATATATTTGCTAACTGCTAAAGATAACTAAAGAAGAAACTGATCGCAGACTACATAATTCTTTTCGCTAATATTCTAGTTAATTTACTATTCTACTTTCCAATGTCTGCAGTCGTAAAAATATTCAGTTTGGTTTCTTAATACTCTCTTTCGCTTTAAATAAATTTGTAGAAAGAGTTTTTAAACACTATTGTAAGCTTACAGGTGGTGGTAAGTGAACTTGAGGTGATGAATGATTTTCGTCCAACTCATCTCGATCTGAAAGTTTATGCATCTACTTTAGTAAAACTACCACTATTTTTGAATGATATTCTACAATAAGATGCTTAGAAAAGGCTCATTCAACCATTTTATAATTGAAGCTATCTCAGGCAATTTATGTCGAATCGACAAATCCCCAGAGATAAAATTAGTACTCAAAGCAAAATTTACACAGCACTTATAAGTTAAGCAGTTGACTAAAAATATGGACTAAACTGTAGAAATATGTCGAAGGTAAGTGTTTACGAAGTGGTTTTTTGTAATACCTGATGTAATGAAAGTGCTACTGAGATATAAAATGGTGACTTTTGTTCATATTGCTACCGTAATGCATATCCACTTTAATTGTCATAAAATTGGAAGAATAGGTGAAAAATGATTGGTTGCATTGGATTATAACGCCTATTTTTTTTATCCAAAATAAATGTCATGTATTTAAGGTTGTATTCATCACGAACTGACATGAACTGTTGAGCACGTGACAGTAATGGACAGCTGTTTCGTCCAACTTTGAGTCTACTTAGTATTTCGTACCCACTACCCAACTAGAGATCAAACTAAGGATGACCAAGTGGCGAGGCCAGCACATTATCATTCAGTTGCTGAGTTGGAATTCAACGGTTTACACTTTCTGGCTGCTTTCAATCTGTGATAGACGGCGAACATCATCTAGTATTTCTCCTTAAGCCTGATTTGTTTTACATTGCATGCAACAGTTTCTGGGTGAAACTTTAGGGAGTCCATTTCAAAGTAAGTGACTTGAAAGCACTGGTTAGTAACATACTTCATGATTTCAGGTTACTGATTGGTTTCAGAAAGTTTCATCACAGACTGACACCATTTGAAGAATCATTGGGAACTTGGGAGCTCTAGATAGGTGTTTAACCCCTTATGTGATCTTGAGTGCTCATAGGTAATCAGTCCTATACTAGAATGAACCGGCTATGTACTGTTCCTAGGTTTCCAATGGTTCTCTAACTGATATAAGTCTATGATGAATACTGCATTGAAATCAATCGATTCCCACAAACCACTAACTAAACTCTCTATGAACTATGGACAAGATTTGACCGAATAGTATGGAAAATGTAAGCTACTGAGTAGAAGGATGACACTAGATATGGTTTGTATTTGTGTAAGTCACGGCGTGTTTCAAGCAAAATAAGTCCAACGTTCCGCATGGAATTCTGGTACGAGCTTCTTCAGGGAAATAATCAAAACTGTTTTAATTTCTGATCATATATAATACTATCTGAAATGTCTTGAAACAGCATTTTGAAATGTTGAAGAAGTATTTCATCTCCTTTTTAACAAAAATGATCTTTAACTTTCACAATTCAGACTAAGATTGTTATAAGTAGACGGTTGACTGGCTATGCAAATATCGATGAAAATGTTGAAATTTAAAACGTTAGTGGTAACTTAGTAGAAACTTCGAGTTTCATAGATTCCTAAATGCTCAATCTGGATACCGAAATCATCAAACTCATTTATTTTCTGGCTTTATGTGTTCTTTCATTAACTTTTATGTCTCACCAAAAGGTAGAAAAATGCAACCACCCATGACATCGCATAGGGTCATGCAGATTACAAATTTGAATCAGGTTCACACTACACAGAAATTTCGTTTGTGGTATGCAAAAATCAGTGCGAATAATGAAACAAAGTTCCATTCTCTATCATAATAAAACAAGGTAATCTGAAAATATGAACCGGTTATGTACTTCAGTTGAATGAGATCATGAACTCCATAATAATTTGAAAAAAAGTCATTTGTTCAGTCCGGTCATTATTTACCTGTTTTTCATCGATTTACTTTTACTGCTAGTTTCAGTCCAGACTAATCCATGTTTTGATTTATTTTCATTGAATTTCCCCTACCCTCGAAACATATAAGAAAAAGAAGGAACAAAACGTTAAGATAATCGATCATGGTTGTATTGGTATCATCATTGGGACAATTATCATATGCATTGTAATGGGGATTGTAATGCTGTTAGAGATATGGGGTAAAAAATTGCATGGCAGTGCGTATATTGCTCATTCAACGGAAACAAGTGTTCTGTTTGTTATGGCTCTGGTGTTCTGTGTCTTGGGTATAAACAGTACAAGACGACTGAAGTTCTCCGTAAACTTTTCCAATCAAAATTTGGACAGTAAATTACTGATTGTAACCTTTTTCATTACTGTCACATTCCTAGCTGCATGCATTCTGTTGAACATAGCCTTTCTTTTGAGTACTGCATTCAATGATGATGAACAACAGTGTCTCAAATTACATCTCTTCACAGTGCTTTTAGAATTGATACAAGTTATGGTGCAGAACTTCTTTATCAATGATTTATTCTATCGCTGCTGTCATGATAAATCCTATCAAGAAAAGAAACCAGGTCGCCCAATGATAGCTTTATTATCAGCTGTAAATTTCTCATTATGGATGATTTATAGCTTTCAGGTGAGTTTATCAGTGTTTTATTACAATGTTGTGTGTTCGTTGCTTACTGAGCTAACCTGAAACTATTAGGCTGATTCTTTAAATTGGAAACGAACTGATAATTCTCCGAAACATCATTATCTACTTATAAGTACTACAGTTTAAAAGCGTTATATTATTAAGCAGCAAGTTGGAAAATATGCTGTTTTCGTACTACAATTTGTACGAAACACAATATTTCTTTGGAATAGTCTTCGTACGATAGTAATAACGTTTCTACTGCTTTCCTTTATTTTAATTCAAATAATAATTGTTTTGTTAACTTCGACTTTGCAGTTAGTTATCGTGCTGGATGATTCTGCCTGATAAATTATATCGGTTGATGTAGTTTTTAATTCATTATGTTGACTTATAAAAACCAGTTGGTAGGCTCCAGTCTAAATATGAACTTCTCATACATTTTTCTGGTTGTCGATCTCTACTGCATTAAAATAGTATTTTAGAACTGCATAAAACTGTATTTCAGTTTGAATGATTCATGCTATATGCAACTCTTCAGCTTTGTAAACTTCATCAGTAGGACTTAACAGAAAACCAGTTGTTATCCTGTGTCCATTTCATGTACAGATTGTTTCTTTATGATAGTGTACACAATTGGCTTGATTCGTATCGACGTGTGTTACATAGGATGTTAAATAAATGAAAAGGACGTTTTTTCACGTGATGTGTTTTCGCATCATAATGATTCGACAGCAGATACGGTGTACCAGACTTTGTATATGATTTGATCTGACATTAACGCTTAATTGTTTGACCATTCGCTTAGTGCAATAGGAAACCTTTAAAAGAAATGGCAGCGACTAATCTCTTCATCATCACTGCTTAGTTTATTCGGTTGTGATTCTAGTCAATTCCACTTTTACAAATTTGTAGGTTTGCCCTACAGGCTACTTAGTTAACATTGGTTTAGGCACTGTTCAGTATTGAAAATAACCTGCAACTTCATTATTTAATAATCACTTTGTCCTCCAATCTCACTTTGTTTTTGAATAAAGAAAGTATGCTTGAAACGAATGGGTCGAAAGTTTGTCAACAGTATTGTAACACGTTTAATCTGACATCTTTACTATATTATTGATGGATAGTGCCTATCTGGGGAATCCAGGATGCACGTTTCGTCTTGTTTAGGAATTTTCAGCTGGATCCACCTTTATGTATCAAAATCTGTTGAAAACCAAGTGGTACTTAATTCAGCCTGAAAATATTACGTACAACAGTGATATACACAACCTTCTGACTAAGTAGCAGTTGTTTCTAGCTTGTGCTCATGAAGAGATAAGTAATGGGGAAAAAAATGAATGTCACACTTTAACTAGAGGTTGGTGGTTCATATATCGGTCATAAAAACCATCCCTTAATTAAAATAAAAGTGGTTGTTTTTAACTTTTGAATTCATGCATTGATTTCTTTTGTTCTATTTTTCAAAATCAGGCAAAACACAACAATATATTACTCAGTGTCAATTCGAATTATGTAAAGGCAAGTGAACTTCAAAGCTTATTTATTTATATAAGTGTATCACTGCCTATGGTGATGCTATATCGTTACCATAGTAGTGTTTGTTTAGCAATAGAGTATATACGTGTTTATGAGGATGAAGTGACTCGATATGAGAGTATGTTACGTGGTGTGCCACATACTAAGACACTACCATTCGGTTCCAAATGGGAAATTGTTGAACCTCATTTGTCGGATTCACTTTCTGACAATGTAATGACAAGAGAGTTTAGAACCAGAGCTTTGTCTGAACCGGCAATAAAATTGGGTTCAGCCGCTTATCTGAAAGAATTCAATGATACAAATAACTCATCAGATTTTAGTGGAAAAGATAAACAAACTTTGACAGTGAACAAGCTAGAAAAACTAAGTTCACAAAAATACAATCCTCAAAATAAAAGACGTACAACTCATATCAGTATGGAACTGGCACAATATCGTGTTAATGCTAGTGAAATGGAACATCGGTTAGCTGAAATGAAACTGAAGAAGAATAAACGTGCAAAGGATGACCAGACTTCGAATGAAAAGTTAACCGTAAGTAAATTTACTGTGAATAAAGAATTCGAGCCAACTATTTCAACTTCATTGTCTGACAGCGCCTTATCCACCATACGCACAACAGATACTATTGATGAAGAAGATGATGAAACTGGAGGTATTGACACTGACGACTATCCGAGACAGACACCATCTCCAGAGTCTTGTTACTACAGTAAAACAGGGGATGATAGTAATACATATCATACACAAAGTCAGCTATAAAGATACATTTTCTGAAAATGGTTAAACTTCAAAAGTTGCAGTTGGAATCACATGCACTTCCAATAGAAAGCTCTACCAATTTCAGTAGAAAAGCATATTTTCTATGGTAAAGTTTTGATAATCAATAGACATGTCCAAGTAATTTCAGTAACCTTGATCATTTTTTTCAATTCTTTGCGCATGTCAAGTTCTTCTATTATGAAGCCTTCCATAATTAGTACTCCCATTGATTTTCCACTAACATTTCTATTCTTTAAGCACCCATTTTTCTTTCAGTTTGTCTACTTTTAATCTCTCTAACTTTCACTTTTCTTTATAAATCTAGCAAGTAGTCACCTCTTTGATTTATTTTGTTGGAGTTCCGATGAGATTTTCCGTAACATGTGCATTAACATACATTATTCTACCTGCATTTTTATACAATGTTCAGGATGGGATGGACTCTAGTTTTCAACACTTACTATTCGGTCTGCAAGATCATGTAATAATGTATGTGTGTAATTTCGGTGTTTTCACTTTTAGCCGTTTTACTGAGTTTACATACATATATACACAAAACAATCAAATATCAATCATAGTTTGAAATTTACAGTCCTGTACCATTGTATTCATTCCAATCTTTGTACTGCATGATTCAGTCATATTTTCGTATTATAATGATAGTAACAGTTTTTTTAAAGTTGAGGTTATGTTTTTATCAGTTTATCAAGATTTGAAAGTTTACGTGAAAATAGATGACCTTGAACATAAATATCTTTAAGTTAAATTCTGTGTATTGTTCTTTATGGTCCATTCTCTAACTAACTCTTCTCAACTTAGGATCGTTCACAACTAGCTATAATATTCCTAAACCATTTCAATTGTGACTTCCAGACCGTTTAGAGCAGATTAAAGTTTTTCACACCCTTTGCTTATATCAGTATGGCTGAACAGTCGAAATTATTCACTTTCATTTCTTAAATATTTTGGCTACAGAAAGGTAAATAAAACCTTATAGGGAAGTTAAACACGGTCGTTTGTCACACCAAATGACTGAACTAGTGTGCCTCACTATCTCTTTTTCACATTGCATCAAACTTAAAATTGTCTCTTATTCTAACTAGTTTACTAAGTTCAAGCCAGTTTCCAATTTCAGTTAGTTTCGTGACATAATGTGACCACTATCAGGCTGTTTTTGAATAACTAACAGTTAAATGTCTGAATTCACCTTTTTTAACTGCTATGGAAATATATCTCTAGTTAAGAGTTTTAACTCGGATCTTCACCAAAATAAGTCATCAGACTGTTAGTCTTTTTTATGTCCTATTCGCACAATGATGACTAAACTACTGTCAAGTTAAGAAAGTTTAAATATATTCTTCATTATTCTTTTAAATATTTTTCTTAGAAGACAGTCTCAGTGAATTATAAACTCTCTTTTCGACGAAACCATTCTCTTAGCTGTACATTCGTGAATATATGGTAAAAAGGATAAAACATTACAGAGTAGTTTCTGACCAGAGGTCAATATAAATCGCGTCACAAAAGAAAATTACGTCATAGGGAAATAAACAAAATGGTTGCAAAATAAAAATATTTATGTCACAAATGGATAAATGAGTTTCTGACGGAAGAATATGATTCTAATATTGGCTGCAAAGAAGGTTTGCTTTATCGATCTTGACAGTCTGTTTCCCAGCCAATCTGCCGCACTATCTCCCTTGAATTAGAGGTTCTGTAGTAAAATCTTTTTCGGAGAAGCGTGAACGCTTCTGGTGTATTTTCTGGCTTGAGATTATTATTGATAAATTTCAGTGGGTATCCATTGTTCATCAGGATTTCCAGCAAGTCCTCTAGTGCATAATGGAAGGAGTCCTCTGTGCACATTCTTCGTGTTCTTGAGGAGAGTGAACTGATAAGATTCCTCTTTCCGCTCAAGGGCACAAAGCTCTGAAAGTTAATAACTTGTTCACTTCAAGTGGCCTTTCTGTAAACATATCTCTTGACTGAATTTTCATCTTTTCTTTGAAGTCAAACATCAAGGAAGTGGAATTTTGAGTTCGACTCTTCTTCTACAGTGAATTTGATGAAGGGATGAGCGCTTCTGAATGTTTTAAGCATGTTTTCGTGATTTATACTCTCGTCACAAATAATAAAGTCATCATCTATGTATCTTTTGTAGATATTAGGCTCTCTGATTATTTTTGATAAAGTCGTCTTTTCCGGGCTCACCATAAAGCGGTCAACTAGAAGGAGTCCTAGAGGCAATGCCATTGCCTCACTTTATGTCTGTCTATATGTTTCTTTGTTAAGTCCGAAACCCACTTCAATAGTACATCTGAGAATTTCCTTTAAATAGTAATTTGGGACAGCAGTGTCTAACATATGGGACTGAATGAAGCTACACGAAAAATAAATGGTTTTCATTAGTTGGATATTTGCAGGTATGGCGATAACTTCCTGAGAAATCATCCCTTTTGCTGACAGGTTGACATTCTTAAGTAAATCAACAAAATGAAATGTGTCACACAGGCTATGTTTCAAAATCTCATTCTTCATTGGATCCAGTATCTTGATATGCCATGTTGCAACTGAATAGTAAGCAGAATCGGTCATTCCATATTAGATTCGTTTATCACAGTACCCACGTTCTATACTTACATTAGAGAAGTGGTCATGTCTAGTATCGGACGAAGGGGAACCCCTACTTTTGGTACTTAGGTTAGACCATATAGTCGAGGAAGCTGATGAACGGAGTCGTTCGTAAAGTTCAATGCTAATCGGTGCTTCATCTTTCATCTTCTTCAATGTCCTAAACAACTGACACTGCGCTTTATCGGTAGACTCTTTATGAACTGTCTGTTTTTAAAAAAAATGTTTCCATCTGACAGAAGGAGTGAAAGCTTGTCCATATAATCAGATTGGTCCCAGCACCTCTGTGATCATGACGAAGCTTACTTTTTTCTGAAGACCTCTTAACTTATTCCGACATTCCTTTGATAAAGTGTGTCGAAGATTGGATTTTCGATTAATTTAATCCGTACGGCAATTTAGAATAGTTGATTTGAAATGGTCAGGGTCATCAGATGAGATCAGAACTTCCAAATAATTCCAGATTACCATTCCTGAGCGTACTTAGCTTCTAGTTGAAGTAGTTACTGAAGGGTCTGCTGACAAACAGGGAACAAGTCTAACGAAAAGAAGAACTGTAAAAGTGTGAGGCTGTCAACGTGATTTAACTAGAATTCAAGAGTAGTTACTACTTCCAATAACAGACTATGTTATGCTTAACCGGTAACAATTACGAATGAAACAGGAAACTCACATTTTTCATAAGATTTATATATATATATATACACTGATGGGGTTTGTCCTGTGTAACAGAACTTCGAAAAGTTGAACAAAGGAAAACCACAACTGCCGAAAACATGGTAGATAAAAGCTACGAGTATAAAACTAAGGGAAATAAAAATGAAAGTAAAACCGAAAATAATCCACATAAGGTGGTATTCCTCATGGATTAACATAAACAGGAGAACTACTAAAAACCTTATAGCGATGGACAGTTTTCTTGTTCAGCACTGCATACCAGTGGCTCCTTGATAGATACGTACACGATCGTCAGGTCTCGCAGTCAGTACAATCTTAGTTATTTGCGGGGTTGAAATCTCTTAATCCATGTTCTTCTACTTCTGTCAGTTTGGTAGGTAGTCATGGCTGGTAGGTTTTCAGTGTTTCTCTAACTCATATCAGTACTCGATAAGAAACACGTTGGAATCTGTCCATTATGGTAGCATGTATGACGATAACTGATCGAACAATCAAGAAAGATTTAGATCACAATATTAATGAACTTCAATGAAAATATGGGTGAGGCTAAAAGTCATCTCCGTGTGTTATTGAGTTCTGTGTGAAAATGCATATTTTCTGTGCTTTGTATGTAAGTATATTGAAGTGAAAACTACAATCATAGACCCTTTTTGCTGTAGTTTGAAGCCCGGATTAACTTAAGTTTGTTAGCATCATTCTTCATAAATAACTTTACTTACATCCCACCTAAGATGTGGAAGTTCAACCATATGATTAAACGGTATGAAACACGATTTAGTGATAGACGACATTTTAAAAACTATACAAATAGGTAAAATATGCATATAACACAGAAAATACGCCAATTTGCACACAGAACGCCATATCTGTTAACAAGCACGATAACACCTTGCAATAACTTTTAGCCGTGTTCTTGTGCATACTGCACGCTGTCAGGTCACTACTAGTTTTTTAAAAGCGTACGAAGAAAGTATTATTGTATTCTCTTGTGCGTCCTGAGAATTATGGCGTTTAAATTACTAAGTCCTTGAGTGATGAGATCAAAGCCCAGGTGAATACAACCTAATCAGGTTAAGTTAGTTTTTCATAACAGTTTCTGACAGTTTTTGTGACCCACTGTGTATCTTTTCCTGTTAAAATTTAGCAAATCTGCCTGAAGCAGAGTACATCTAATTCTCATCCAAAACAGTGAAGTTAATATCTATTCTAAAAAATCTGCGACTAGGATTTCTACATAAGTCACATTCCAGCTTGAAACTACTGACTAAATTTCCTTTGTTTCTGTTTATGTCTTGAAGTGGTAGGTTAATGACTATTCCAAAACCCATTGTGTACTTAGTTGATTTAGTTTTCAGATGAAATTTTTAATAAAATATATCTGTAATACCTGTTAATCTGAAAAAAACATTTGACACTGAATTTAATGTGTGAATTTAAGTTTAAAAGGTAACGGTAGTAATCAATTTTCAAGTTGCTATTCATCACCGACCGACATCAATTTTTAACGTAACTTGAAACAATGTATTTATTTCACCTGAATGTTCGCACAAATTAGTGTTTCCTAAAATGAACTTTCTCTATTGTAAGGATGATTGATTATACTATCGGATATATTGTAAATCCTCCAAAGGCAACTAAAGCTGTGCTGAGTATTTCCCTAGCTTCATCTTATTTTCCATAGAAACTATCCTAAGAGTAAGATTTTAAAAAACATTCCTCAAACATGTTCAAAAACATTTATCACAAAAAAAACACCCTTTTACAATGAAACTAATTATTAGGCTGTATAAATTTGCTAATGGTTCTCATTCACTTACTACTTACTGATTTTGAAGTGTACGTACTTTTCCAGCTAACTCTGTAAAGTCAAAGCTGACGTGAGTCTCCAAAAGCTGTCTCTCAACAATTACTACAGTGTGTTACAAATAACGATAAACAATCACAGTGAACCTCAGTTCACTGTTCGTAGATTAAGCTGACAAAATACAGAGCCTTCTGAAAACTCTCGGAAAATCCTTAGTATGCTTGTTATGAACTTTGAATCAATCAAATGGAAGATGGTAATTATGAAAGGGTCCACACTGACTACTAGCTTGAGGATAGAGAGTAAAGTGGTGGAATGGTAAAATGCTGGTGAAATCTCAGTGCTGATACAAATAGCCTGTTTAATGTTTGCCAACTTGGTGCTGGCAAGTCATCCGAACGCCTTTTAAATTATGATTGTTTTGTTTAGTACCATGATCTTTCCTACCACATGATTCAGATAGTTATTGAATATGGATAACATAAGAACCCTACCTGTTAGTGATCACATACCTCCATTCCATTGCTCTCATGCGTTAGAATCACTGTGTGTAATGTTGAGGTTAGGTGCAAAGTACTAGGCAAGGAAGGCAGATCAATAAGTGAGGTTTTCTACGTAAATCGAGTAAGGTGGCTTAAACGTAGCCGATGTTAGGTCAAGAATAACTGGGTTAAAATAAGGTTGATCGAAGCTGGATCAAAATTTCTCACCATTCCATTAGTTGACTTCACTGTTAACTACCAAGTAGACTATAACATAGGGTTTTGACTATTTATGTGAGCTGTATGTGGGCGTGGATTTACCCTCACTGAAGTCCTCAAGATGATAAGAATAAATATTAAAAGACTGTTTTTGATAACAGTTAAAGTAGGTTACAATGGCCCTCTTCAAAGCTTCGAACATTTCCCCTAACCCTAATCTATTTATTCTTCCTCCTTTAACATACTTTGTGTGTTTCATTTTATCTTTTTTTATGAACTTGCTGTTTATAAACTTTCATGAGGTTTGGTAAATTGAAGTGATGCACTCTCGTGCAAAGTTCTTTTTTGATTTTTCTGTCTACTGTGCAGTCTGTGTAAACATTCTGTTCTTGGAATATTTAAGTGTAAATAGGAATTTGTGGTCCATATACTTGTTTCCATATTTACACTTTTTCCCCATTATGTCACTAATTAATATCAGTTTCAATTAGGGCTGAAGAAACGAGTTGTCATCATTATAAAAAATCGCTTACAAAAGGACCAGATGGTCATCGACTAATCTCCTAAATACTATTAACACACCACCTCAGTGACGGTCAAATCAAAGAGTTTTCACTGGACATTGATAAAAGTAATGTGGTTAAAATGAGTAGGCCCCAGATCGCTCTGTCATTAATACCTCCTCATGAAACTGGGGAAGACTGCTAGATCAATTACCAACTGCATATGCTTTGGGCAATGTAATGAGGTGGTTACACTTTACTGTTATTAGGGGCAAGTGACGTACTTATTGACCAATAAATATCCGTACCGTACAACCTTTAGTACATAAATAATTTGGTCTCCGCGTGTCATCTTCTTAGATCAATCTTATTTTACATAAGTATGATTGATACGAACACCAAGATGAGGCGTATACTAGAACCTCGGAGGATAAGTGGAAATATCAAGTATTTTCTGCGTATTGTAAACAGACAGATTCTGGTAGAACTTCTTCACTCCTAGTCCGAAACAAATATGCTTATTTGTAAAAACAGTTGTGTGATACGTAGTTGTAGATCTGCGGTGTGTTCAAAATGCACCAATGAGTGGAACAAATACAGAATATCTAAAAAGGTTTCACTGTGAAACAAAGATATGCTTTATTTGACAGACTGAATCTTGAGCAGTAGTTAGACGTTTCTAAGCTGAGACATTAGTAAAGGCCAAAAACAAGCTGTCAAAGATGTACCATGAATAATTTACGAATTTTCTCTTTAGGATTTATGTAACCCTAACGAGTAACATAATGCTATTCTCCAGTCCAATTTATTTTATCGGTCGCCCTTAGTTTATTGTCACTATCATAAGGAGCCGGTTATCTGTCATTTATTACTCAATTATGTAGCAATCTGGACCGATAAATATAACTGTTTCCGTTTCGAGGATGATGCAGTCAGCTAGTTAATAACAAGAATCCTACTGAATAAAATATCAGTTACACTAATACCTGAAAATCTCCTCAACAAACACAAAGCATTTTGTACTTCTCTATATAACTGATGGTGACATGTAACACCGACACGATTTATCTCAATGATTGTTCATTGATTTTGTATACTTACCGCTAATGGACTTGCACCACCAATATTAATCGACATATTCAGTTTCGTAAGCATATAAAATAGCTACTCCATAGTCATCAAGACTTTGTTCTACAACATTTTCACATACAACATGTAAGTTTTGGTACCAATTAATTATGACGTATTATGAATAAAATTTCGTTTTGTTTGTTGAACATGGGAAGTAAATTCATTCGCCTATTTTTATTTTCAGTTAACATGTTTTCAGCACACACTGCATATTTATTTTCAATATGTTCAATAAAGATACTTTCAATTCCTAAAAGACTATATAAATAAATATTGAAGGATTTTCGTTGTTTAATTAAATCACTTTCTGTGCAATTTACTCTTTTGGCTTTTAAATTAATTTTGTAATATTCGGCCGATAATTTTAAATTTGGCACATAATTATACTGATCATAATACGGTAAATTTTCTTCGTTGCAATTTTTATGGTCCATTAGCGTACTGGACCTGAATATTAAAGAATCATGTAACCAATTGCAATTTGAATGATATGATATTGATCGTTTCTAACTTTGCACTAGAACGTCATCAGGAACATACTTAAATATGCAATTTTCGGGAATTATATTAGTAGCCAGACGTCAACTTACTGGTGACTGATAAAACTGATGTAAACATGTCCAATCTCATAAAATTTCTAATAATTAAAAACATTCTGCTCAATAAAGAAATTTAAAATTAAGGTGGTCTTATTGAGTAATAACAAACCACATATTAATGATGAAACTTCTGTAGACCCCATGCGATGGCTTATGAAAGAATACCTAGATTGGCATCTTATTCGAGGCAAGATCAATCCGGTTTTTATTAGACAGACAAAGTAGTGCATGCAAATAATAGCGTGACGTCTACAACAGTCGGTAAACTATAATGTGAAATCAGAAACAAGCCAGAAACAGGCTAGTGTGCCGAAAACGCCTGTTCGATGAAACTGATGTCCCTTTTGTTTTTGACTTCAATAACCTATCTAAAAACTATTGCAGGTAACTGTTATTTTAGTCACTAGCTGAATTTATCTGGGCCTCAAGCACGAAGCGAAAAATGATATCATTTTGCAGTTGGGATATAGTTCATGTACTGAATACTAACTTGGGGCGTAAAAGATATGCGCCGCACTAAATTATTCAAGTGGAAAGTTGTAAGAAGCAACAAAATGTCACCATCCTATTGGAAGGACAGTTTGTAAAGCATAAGCTAAAGTTCCCCATTGAGTCTGTGATCTATATTTCTAAACTGGACTGAAGTTAGAAGATATACATGTAGCAATAACAGCTATTAATATACTCACTTATAAATGTGCAAAAAATCATTATGAAGATGACATCTTAGAACTGTAGTTTGTATCAGGGTCTTGAAAGCTCTGAAGTTCACATTTTCTCAAGGGAGAAGCGTTTCTCTGGGGATGATTTTTCCGATAGAAACTTCAATCATCAGCGTACTGCTTCATTGATTATTGCGAGTGCTCATCTATCCAAGTTATGTGCTAATTCACAGAAATGGATTTCGATGTTAGATAAATCAATACAGCTTATCATCAAGTCCACTGAAAAATGTAACCAGTTCAGAAGTTTTGTACATAAAACTCACTTTTAGAATAAAAAAAGACTGTGTAGTTGTTTACTGGTAGAGAAGAACAAAGAGATGGTAGCCAGCATAGAAACATGTATGTTAACGGCATGTTTTAAAGGTTAAATATTTACTAGCATATTTATAATCAAAACGTAATAAAAAACAAACTTAATTACGAAAATTACAAGTAAATTCTTCAAAAACAGATTTGGTTAAATGAAACGAAAGTTGTTGCAGCCTAACAGACCAACTGCAGATCAGGTTACACATTTACGTAAACATTAATGCAAAACATCAATGTGTAGCTTGTGATTATGTTCTACGTAGATAATATATTTGGGACATTTAAAAAAATAGTATCTTCCCAATAAAAGTTTATCAACCGAAAAAGTTTTAGAGATATTCCATATATACCTACAACGATTACTACTTATTTAGAATACAGACTTTGTAAGACATGAACACCAGGAGATACACTCAGTAAATAATAACGCAACATTAAGGACACCAGGAAACCTGATGACTAGAAACAAAAGCAAAAGTGGGTTAGTAAATAAGCAGTCTGAAAGACACATACAAAGAGTCATTTACCACTTTCTTCTTACTTCTTGTTAGTAGAAGCAAAAAAATGCAACATGTTCACCACTGGTTTCTTTTTACAGACATGTTTACTACCACCTGAAGTGGGTGAGTCGTATGGTCGCTTAAACCCGATCCAGGCAGTCGTGAGACACCTCCAGACTCTAGCCTATCACAACTATCCTACACAGTACACCGACCATCTCTTCCCTTCTTCTAACTAGCCTCAGGGCAAGCGAACTGTAAGCGATGAGGGGGTTGTTGGAACGATGTTAATGAAACGTGTTTAAGCCACTAATGCCGGTGTTTAAACGTGAATACACTGAATAAATGACCACCTCTGTCACACCCGAAAACACCCCGTCTCAACTTGGAATTACTTAGATTGTATTTTTTCTGAACGCTGGCAGTCCTGCGGAGACCGGAAATGCAGGGTCATCAGATAACCTGAAGTCGTATTACAGAACCTTCCATACTAATGCATTGTATACGTGGACCTTAACAGCAACGCTAATGTTCTGAAGACACAAAGGTGAGCCGGATTAGTCTATGCTGCTAGGGCTTACCATACCTAGTTAGAAATCTCATCAGTCCCAATTTCACCAGCACTCACATAACTACCTAAGCTACATCACCAGGTTCTTTCAAAAATAAAATCAGTGATCACTTACGTTCACAACATGAACTTACAGACTAAGTCACAAGTAACCTGTATTCTTTGTTTTATTTATTCTTTACTTTTCATAAGAAGTTTCTCAGACACAGGTACTAATGATCCACTAATTCTAGACTAGGATGCAACTTATGCGAAAGCTTCTTCAATTCCATAGCTAACCATTTGGAACCTTTCGAACTAAACTTTTCCACATGTACCATCCCTTCACCACCAAAAGTTAATGCAGTTACGAGTTCCTGGCAACCTCAGGGAATCACTCTGAGCTGTGATAGTACAAAACATACACTGCTTACGAACATCAATCGCTAAATGACTGAATGCAACTTCAGTAGATTGTTTGCTGTCAGATAGTAATATGATATCATCCATTTGCTTGAAGTCGAAAGTCTTTCACTTGGTAGCAGGTTTATGTCATCACCATACTTTTCCCTAAGGGCTGTCTGAAGAGTCTCATCGACGGCAAAATTAAAGTAAAACGGCGAAATAGGATAACCCCACCTAAGCCGCCTAGTGGTCCCAAACAATGAAGGTAATTGACTGTAAGCCTTTATCCTACCTGAAGCATTTAAGTATAGGGCTTTCCAGATGCGGACAAACTTATCAGAAACACCATTTTCTAATAGACAATTCCAGACTAAGTCTTCGTTCAAGGAAATGAAGAGAGCCCTAATATTAAAAAATATAACGATAGTTGATCTGCTATTCATTTGACAGTGTTTGAGCATCTGGCAGAAAATTAACTCGTAAACAAAGAATTCACTACCTGAATAAAACCAAGCCTGTTCTTTGTGGAAGTTTTTCACTTGTTTTAAAGAAACTCCAAAGTATGATAGAAACCAATATTCAAGACACTACTGGTAGGAGAATAATACATGAATAATTGTAAATACATAACGTAGATGTTTCTCATAGATGGATCTAATCATGAATTCATTTCAGAGTATTGAAGCACTCTTAGTCTGATATGCCTTCCAAAAAAATGTAACAACTTCCCTGACTACAGTTTCACCCCAATTCTCGGGAGCAGATGATAGTTGATAGTCTTAGCTGAGTAAGCCACTTAGTCTGCTTTAGTACTTGAAGTTATTTGCAGACCTCAGCTGAGTTACGTCGATCTGTGTTAACCAGTCATAGAGCAAATAACATTGGGATTGATATTACTGGAGCATAATGTCAGCTAAAATGTCGTCTGAAATGCTCTTCCTAGCTTTACAGACCTCTGGGAAACTTAGTGATCGGAAAGCTTCATACTTCATATAGCTTTCCACTGACATTGGACTTCTTACTGTCAGTGGCTTCAGATTTCAACGTGATTCACCTACTGCTTGCAACTTATTCGCTAATTCAAACACTAGACCTTCCAGAACTTACTCAAATGCTCTCTGATCTGTGACATGAAGCAATTCAGCAAGTCAGAATACTCACTGACTGCTGAAATACACTCAGTAGAACCAAGAAGTTGCAAGGAACTCGAGTAGGACCGTTATTTATCGGTAGGAAATTCTTCAAAGCAACAAACAACTTTATTCTCCGGTTCACAGTGTCTTTTTAGTCCAAACAATGTTCATTTGTATTTCGCGACCTTCTAAAGCTAGGCTTAAATTAAGCTCGCTTTTGTAATTAGTCTGCACAATTTTTGAAACAAGCAAGGCTTCCCTGATTGCAAATGATATGAGAAGGTATAGCATAAAATTGCTACGAATCTACGAAGGATCAGTAGGTGGAATAAAAGTGGACTCTCCAAACTATCAACTAGAGAGTCAATAATCTACTCCAATATCTCACCCAGACGACAACCACAAGCACAGCACACTGAGTTTCCGACTGGCTATCATGATGTCCCCAAGACCACCAAGGGCTCTCTCTCTCATACAATGGGAAACAATCTCCTCCTTTACAATCAGGATCATGACAGCAAGATGGATTCAACTCAAAAGGAAGTAAAGTCACAGTAGTACAATGCAACACTATGCACCTACAAATAATGCAGATGAAGAGAAGGAGGAGGAATTCCACAGAAAACTTCAATCAACACTGGACAAGATCCCACACCAGTTGGCGATGGTGACATTAAAATTCTAATGGGTGACATAAATACCAAACTGGGAGTGGACAACACAGGAAGAGATCTAATCATGGGTCAAGAAGCACTTAGTGAAACGAATGAGAATGGAGAACTGTTCGCAGATTTCTTCACATTCAACAATTTGGTGATAGGAGACGAGGCAGTGTGTACAAACACCAGGATATTCACAAAACGACATGGATTTCACCAGAAACCAGGACACACCAAAAATCTGACCGACGTCGTTCCAATCTCAAGAAAGTGGAGACGCAGCCTATTGGACACAGGATCACGAATAGGGCAGATGTAGCTTCACACCACTCACTGTCTAGTGTAAAGAACCTACCATCAAAATCAAGTCGAAAGCCTTCAAGGAAGCTGGTGATGACAGACCACAGTTCAAGTTCAACAACCACCCAGAACAGGAACTGAACTGAACAACGAAACTACAAACGACACGTCTTCACGTCAGTCAGTCAGTCATCAGGAAGAAATGGGAGACATTAAGTAACATTCCTGAAAAGAAACTGCGTGGGAGAACACTG